TTTTTCTCCCTCTCCCTTCCTCTCCCTCTCCCTCTGTCTTCCTCCATTCCTTCAAAACTCTTTAACCCCTAAACCTTCCGTCACCCCTTCCCCCTCCATGGCATGTGACTAACCTCTACCCTCACCTGTTACATTGGCAGGAACGAACGAAAAGGAACTTAGTCCTCACTTGGTGGAAAGCGAGGGCAAGGGAAGGGCTTTCGGTCCCTTGTGCCACCAAGAAGGAAAGGATACAGGACTATTGAGAGCATTTGCGGAAGCGAAAAGGAGTGCTGATTTTGGACGAGGTTATTTTGACTCAACCATCCTTCCGGACTGCAAGACTAAGGCGATTGCATGGCTTGCTTGTGGGAAAGGGAAGGGAACTCATAAGGGGAAGGCAAAGGGGACCTAGGATTGTGGGAAGGGGCGATGTGTTGACCCCAATGGGGATTGTACTTGGTCATTTGTCTTGTGTGGTCTTGCGCAGGTGAGTAGCCTGGGATGATTTGGAGAGGGCTGGAACCACGGATGATGACTAGGGTGGGAGACTTGGCTAAAGGATGGATTGGACCTCGCTTAAGCTATGGATGCGGGATGGGTTGTATGGTTGGGTAGTCGGATGCATGGACGAATGGTAGACGCTTGGATGTGGTTGCGTGATAATTGTCTCTCGAGAATGCAATGCAATCCTGGAAGGACTAAGGGTTGCCTTGGATAGGTGGATGTGATGCTAGTGGCTCTCGCAAAAAAAATATAGCGGCTAGGGGCCCGGGCGACGCCGCCTCGCCCCAAGGATGCTGTCGGGGCTGCCCCAAGCCACTTGATTTAGTGAAAGGGTGCGTGGCCCAATGGATGACGCTTGGCCTGCGCACGGTAAGAAGACAAACTCCCAATGAACTCCCTGGACTGCCTGAGTATTGGAAAGAGCAATTGCCTGGTCAAACTTAACTAAATCAAGAAAACGCCGTGAGTGAGCAAAGAGCTAGCATCTTGACGCGAGAGCGGAGCTACATCCCCCAATGTAAAGCCCTCTCGCAAAAGGCCCATCCCCATCCATCTCAAAGCACTAGGTGGGGATGCCCCTGGGACGAACGACCCGCGCCCTGAGCGTGAGCCTCGGCGGGTCGAGCCAAATGGGACCCGCAGTGGAGTCGACTCAGGCTCGAAAGTCCTTCAGGGTACGGCCCCTACAAAAATGGTGGAGGTGCCGGGTATTGGGTTAAACTGACCCATACGGTCTCGAGGGAGGCGCCCGACGCATGACCGTGAACATAAACGTGAAGATAATGAATATGGATTTGTGTATGCTCTATCGCTTGAGTGAATCAGATTTGAGGGTGGCTGGGTGCATGGCAAGGCCAAGCCTGGAGGAAGAACATGCATGTTTGCACATTTGATCAGCCATCTCCTTTGGAGATGACTCTAGTCCTCCTTCCCTTGGACTGATGTTCGTCAGGCTGGGGAAGCCTTTGGCAAGCCGCGGGTCGACCCTTCCTCTTCGTATGAAAGAAGGGCTCCGGTTACCTGGCAGGCGGTTGGGCTTCCGGGCTAGTCCGGGTTCCGATGAAAATCCCGCGGCGGAGTGATCCGACCGACCTGGGTGCCTTCTCTTCTCCTCTTCGGGGCCCAGTGGGCTCCGTGCACCGCACTTAAATGCTTGAAGGAACCTCATATGAACGCAAAGGGTTATCGAGAAGGAACAATCCTGCCCTATGAACGGACACATGAAGTGAAGATAAGGGGAATGAAGGGAGTTGCTAGACTCCAAGAAAACTAGCTCACCTTTGAAGATGCTCACGAAAACGAATCGGGCACTATGCATGGAAGCTAGGGGTGAGAGGCACGCACTGTCCTGAGTGAAAACCTGCGAGCAAGGGGTAGGAAGCGCTGGGTGCACCTGGGGAAAGGCACTTGTGTTATGTGTGTCCCACTTGGGGCTTGTGCTTGCATGATGAGGATATTGAGCGTCCTGCCATTTGGAAGGAAAGGGGGCATCCTCACCGGCCACTGCGGGTTGCCAAACATCGTTCTCTTTGCAGACTGTCGTTTATTCGTGTGCGGAGGTCAGACCATCGAGCTGTCTAACGGGAGTTTGTCACGTCGAGTGCTTATTAGCATTCTCGTCCGTGCGGTGACGGGCTTCGGCTCAATTGATCTGCCGGGCGGGGTGTGAAACGTTCCTCAGGCGGGGCCTAGCCTGTGGACTGGCGGAGGGAGCACCACTGCATGGGGGCAAAGACGGAGCCTGGGAGGCGATCAGTAGCTTCTCGTAGCCTGGTTTGAAAAAAGGTTGTCCCTTATCGGACCAATGGAAGTGAGTGCCTGGACGGCTGGCTCCAATGGCCCTACCGAGATGTGCGGGGTGATTCCCGAGATTAACGGTGGGTACACGAGCGGCAAGTCGGGATGGGGTATTCTGGGCAAGAAGGTGAGGGTGACCCCCCACTGGAGTCTGGGTACCACGCTCACGACGGTTGAGTTGTGCTTGAGGTATGGTGTAAAGCCTTGCCGATAGTACCAGTGGAGAGACCATTTTCCGGGGAAAAGGTCGGTGAGGAGATGACCGACCTGTGTGCGACGTTTGCCTGAGGTTTGCTTTTTGTGCCTCCCTCTGTAAAGTTGCCTGATGAATGTTGGATGGGGACCGAGTTTCTAGTCTATTCTCAACCCCCGCCTAAGTCTGCACGAGTGAGAGAACATGAGGAAGAGGCTGGCTAGGAGTCGGAAGAAAGTGGAACCAAGAAAAGAGGAATGCGCGTGGCTGGTGATTGATTGGGGGTATGGTAGGGCAATGGCACCTGGAAAAGGATAGAAAAGGTTAGGGAGGTCTGAATGAGGGGCCTAAAAACAACTCTCATCTAGAAAAAGGAAGGAAAACCATCTGAACAAGAGGGGCCGTGTGGTGCTCTCATGTGGAAACAAGACTGGCACCGGAAAAACGGGATGGCACGATGGTTGTCACCTCCTATCTACTCTAGTGACCCGGAAATGCCTATAGACATAAGGGATAGGGTGTCTGTTGTTCTCCCGGAAGAAGGGACGTGGACCGACCTGGAGCCAGCTTATGAAACTGTGATGCTGGACGAGAAGGACGCGGATAGAGACAACCTGGACTGAGGTCAGCCTGACAAGACTTTCCCCCAGCCTGATGGACCTAGAGTTCCGAGGAACATTGGAAGTTCGAGGATGGGTCTACGTATCTCAGGAAATAGAAAATGCAATGGTAGTGGGACTAGTATTGGGCACTGCACCAAAACAGCTGTTTAAGCAAGCGGAACGGGAGGTGATATGGGCAGCATGTCAACGGGCGGAAATGGAGATGGAAAGGATGGAGGTGCGAGTGGAACTTGGGGATAGGGGAAATATGAGGCGGCCCCTTAGGACAATGAGTTGTGTGTTACCCCCGTTTCTGGTGGATGCTGTCTTCAGAACCAGGGATAGATTGGAACGGATATGTCGGTCGATGACGCGCCTGCGGCTGTATCAATGTGCTAGACAAGACTTCTTTAGGCTGTCGGTGGAAGCAGGGCCGTTTGAAGGAAACTGGGGGGAAGAATTAGTTGAGGTGTTAAACCTCCTCAGCGCGGACGAAATCTTTGTTCCCAACCCGGTGCATTGGCAGATAGTTTACCGGAATCTGGCGGCGGGTGAAACCTTCCTGGAGGGAGTGAAAGAGTTGTTCTTGGACGAGGAGGGGGATTTCAGTGATGACGAGGATGGGGACGAGATAGAGGACTGAGACTTTTGAAAAGGATGGAGGGACTTATTTGGGAAACGGACTGTCGACTATGTGCAGGTAGGAAGTGATGGCCCGGGAACTCGAGCTATGGGACTGCACGTGGGAACCAAAACGAATCGGGAGGGGAGTAGAGATGTCTATACCACCAAGTAATGAGTGGAAGGGGACKACATGTGACTGGCGGGGGKATGAAATTGTGCCGGAACTGTCATACCTATGGATAGAACGTGTTTGGAACCCGTTGAGGGAAGAGGAAGGATGGGAGGAGATTGCGGAAGGTAGGGTGGAATCGGTTGGAACGGTTGTTCTTTCTGAACAAGGTTGGCACCTGTTCTGCACGACGCTTGCGGCAGGGCAGAGTCCGATGTGGCTTCTAGGGGACGCAGAGGGAAGGGTTTGGCAGGCAGGGGAAAGGTTCGCCAACCAGGGTTGGGATACGGTCAGCAGTAGAGTCATGATGGGAGGGTGGAAGGAATTTAAACCGCCTGGCACCCGAACCAAGACCTGGGTGCCCGAGTTCGTGGCAGACTGGCTTTGATCACGTAACAGAGGTAGCCGACACGATGGAACAAATACACGTGGACTGCGCATGGCTAACAGAGGAATTTTATAGGACGTCCTTGAAATTCAGGCCCTTCCACGGTGATAGAGCTCGGGAGGTCCTTATCATTTTGGACATTGAAAGGAATGATCGGCAGGAGGTGGCCCTGGAAACTAGGGAGGCCATAATCCGCAGTGAGGTAGCAGCAACACCTTGCTATGTGGATGATGTGTTCAAACTGTTCGAGATACTGTGGTTCGACTAAACGCGGGAAAGCCGTGGGGCCAGGCAAATATGAGAAAAGTTGCTAAAATAAGGGAATGGGATGTCTGGCCATTGTAGGGTTCAGTGCGGATCACGAGCCAGGAAATCAAAGGCGAGTGTGCGATGGCGCGTAGAAGGACGTTCCTTGAGGAACGCCCCTTGGGCATTGAACCGCCTAGGGAAGTACCGGGTGGGGTAGAAGTTAGCTTGCCGGCGGCAAGTGGAGGCTGGCACTAGGTGGCATATTGAGTCGGGGTCGAGGTTGCGGAAAATATGGTTTACTTGGTGACAAAAGTTGAGTGGTGTGCGGATGAGAATGGGGAATGGAACCCGGACCCACGGGGGGCATGTGCGTGCAGAAGGACGGTTGTATGTGTCAGAGGATGGGTGGAGGGAGTTCGGAGTTCGGCTGGCATCGGGAGAAGACCCGTTGAGCATGTTTGAAGGGGCATGGCAGTTAGTATGGCGAGTGGGATTTGAGTTCGCAGATCCGGGGGTTGACGATGTAACAGCGGACCTTAGGGTAGCCATGGTCGGGAGTTTCGAATTGCCTAATGAAAATGTACGAATGAGGCTGCCGCCCTTCCTGCTGGAAAGGCTGGGCGGTCTGGGACTTGTTAGACGAGCGGTAGCCGACCTCGCAAGCCTGCCATATAAAGATGCGATGGTACATCGAGAATACTATCGGGTCTTCCTAGAAATGGGCCCGTTCAGTGGAGAGCAGAAGTACGAGGTCCTGCGCATCCTGCGTGCTGTGTTTAGCACCAGGCCGAGGGCTCCGGTCGTGGGAGATGAGGTCTTGTGGGGTGTCATCCGACGGGAAATAAGTCAAGGGATGGTGTACGTGGATGATCTGTACCGATTGTATGAGCCGATGGACGTAGGGACAGATCAATAAAAGAGGTCAAGGAAAGAGACGGAAGGTTCAAGCTAGAAATCGGGGAGTGTTCGGGCGGGAGTTGAAGATTAAATGAAATTAGTAAAACTGCTTGCTGTTTAAACTGTGCACGGGACTACTAAGTCAAAAATGGCGATGAGACGCGCTCAGATGTTGCGACAGTCCACACACCCGCGGCCACCCACGGAAAGTGGAGGCGGATGGGAGGTATCGCTCCCAGCAAGATACATGATCCAAGGATTGGACATCGAATGGAGGGCCGTGACCCTGGGAAGAGGTCAGGCGTTCATGATGGTGGAATGTTTGTGGGATGGTATGAGAATTAACAGGGGRCCGGRARACGATCTKTATACCGATCTTAGGGTAACGGGGACCATATACCTGCCGGAACTTGGATGGTACATGCTAGGAATGGAATTGGCACTAGGTCATGGGTTGCTACCAATCTTCCAGAGGGCTACTAGGATGTTGAACAGGGTGGGGCAGGAAGTGCGGGGGAGAAGAAACGTGGGATTAAGAACTCGGGTAGAGGTCGGAGGCTGGGGAGAGTTTAAGGCCCCAATGACCGGGTTGAGGTGTCGAGTACCTCGTTTCATGGTGGACTTGGTATTCGGTAGCCTCAAGAGAGCTAGGGACCTGGTGGATTCGACCCTGGTCTGGATCCACCTGTTCCGGCCACAAACAACGAGCATGTTCAGACATGGGCCGTTCTGGGGGAATCAGGCCTGGGAACTACTCGAATTACTCGAGATCTTGATATTCGGATTGCCCCACCTGTCGTTTGAAGAATATGAGCCAATAATTATCAGGGAAATAGAGATGGGGGAAAATTACCTTGCTGGGTTGGCTGACCTGTTTGAGGAACCGGATGAGCAGGGCAGGCCTGAACGACCAGCATGAAAAAACGGGTCAGGGAGAGGTAGGGAAATAAAGGATGGATACTAAGATAAGTAGGCAGCCATCAGCAAAAGAGGGACAGTGGTTGGAGTTTTGGCCGACCCAATGATGCGGCAGGGAGGAACTAGGAAGACCACCCGCTCCCAAAATTTTGGGGCACCTGGATGCCAATAAGCTGAAAGGGTCATCCCCGATAGGGAAGCCACTAGGCTCAGGCACCACCCTAAGAATCAAAGCGCGACAGTAATGAAATGCCAAGCGGCAGCGACAAGGCCCCGGTAGAAGAAAACCTGAAGGACGCCCCGGGAGAAAAAAGTCAGAAAAGTCGTACTGATGAATGTAAGACGCAAAATATGGGAATAGGCGTACTTTAGGGCCGGGACTAGGGCAGTTATAAACAACCGGCCATGTTCGTAAAAAAAAAATTTCCATCTGCAGGCTAGGTAAAGGAATAGCGATGGAGGAAGAAATCGAGGATCAGCAGAGCAAAGGGAATCAGGGCGCGAATGGGGATGGGGAACGAAACGAGGGATCAGCAAGGGATCGAGAGTCAGCCAAACTTGAAGGAATCCGAGAAGACGGAAAGGACGCCTCAAGTGGAGAAAGCTCGGGGAAAGCTGGGGGTAGCAAAAGGGGACCTCAGGAAAACAGGGAAGGGGGAAATGATGTGAGAACAAGCCCTCGGAACTCAGCAGGAGCCACCCCTAAAAAGACGGAAGTCTCGGATGCCAGTCGTAAACCGACAGAGATAGAAAAGTGGACTGCAAAATTTGGGGCAAGGTTTATCGAGCAGATGATGGCCGGGGATGAGGAGGACCCCCAGGGCGCAGGGTCACGTGAGGGACGCAGGACTGGTCAGGACGAGGCCTGGTATGAGGGGAAGGATATGCCTAGCAAGAAGGGGAAGGACAAGAACGACCCCCCGACGGAGGGGATGGAAAACGCTATGACCCCGCCTGCCATCGACAGCGGCACCAGCCGACTGCCAGCCTCGCCGAAAGTAACAGGGGCGTGCGATGGACTCTGGAGCCTTAAGGAAAGGGTGCTAGGATGGTTTGACCCAGAAGGAACGCCGAAAACCAGGGAGAAGCAGAGGGAAAGCAAGGAAGGGGAAGAGACCAGTGCAGATGGAGAAGCGGGTAGCTCCGAAGGTGGTCTCAAGAGGATAGTCACCACCCTCACCCGGGCACTAAATAAGAACCAGGGATATCTCGCAGATGCAAAGAAGAAACTCACGTTCGATGGGGCAAACATTATGGAGTTTCTGATAGACTATGAAAACTTAGCAGCCTTACTAAAATGGACGGAAGAGGAAAAGATGGAGCACCTAGGGCAGCACGTGTCGCTAAGCTTGGGAAGGGACATTATGGCCATCGTAGCGTCCAGTGGATCCTGGAAAGAAACCAGGAATGAGATGATGAGGAAATACCTGAAGGCAGAGAAAATGGCAACAGAGGCCGAATTAGCCGCAGTCCAGAGAAAAAACTATGCATAAGGGCATTTACGTTAGTGGCGATGCGAATTCCCGGGGTAACGGACCTCATAATGAGTAAATACTTCCTCAGGCAGTTCTCCGAGTTTGACAAGGATAAGATTTTGTCAGCATACCAGTAGACCAGTAAGTTCGAGTACACGAGAGATGTGGACTTCAACACCGTAACAGACCTTGCGGAAAAGACAGTGGTCACCGAGACACTAGCCCTGCTTAAGGAAGGGGAGGTTATAGACCTGGCCGGGAAAACGGGGGATAAGGTAAAAAAGGGAATAGAGAGCCTGCATGAAAGGGTGCACGGGGTTGACAACAAGATGGACATAATGGAAAATGCGCTATTAGTAATGCAGGCACAAGTGTCCCGACCCGCCCTCCCGCCCCAAGAGGCCGTGGTTCCGGCAGCTGTAGGAAACCGGGGATTTGCCAGGCGGGACCTGGCCAACGAACAATGCAAGTATTGCACCATGATCCGGCATTTTGTACGGGCCTGTCCGAGACTTAATCACGATATCGAACGGTAGAGGTGCAACAGGTCCCTCAAAGGCGAGATCCTCGGACCCAGGGGAGAACGTGTCAATTGGAACTCGCCAGAAGGGATGCGGCGAGCCGTCATTCTCCTGAATAACTTAGAGACAGTTGCCGTAGAAGCAGAGCCGATAGCCAAGATTGTCTGGGACCAGCCAAGGGGACGGGGACCACAGGCCAATTTTATCCTAGAAGGCAATGGGCAGGATAGGGTAAATATCACTACCCGACGGGCTGGCGCGGATAAGAAGCTCATCCGAGATACAGTAATGGAAGAAGCCGCGGGGGCTAGTGCAGAGCAGGAGGAAGCTGAGGTCGGGGAACAGGAAAAGGTCTACGGAAAAACGAGGGAAGAAGAACCGGTAGACAAAGCCACGGCGGCAAAAAAGAAGTTCAGATACCAGATTCCGATTCTGACGCTGCCGGAATTAGATGACACACTGAGCAAACTCCTGGGCACCATGGTCTCAGTATCCTTCCAGACCATGCTGCAGGCAAGCCCGAGACTGCTCAAGGGCCTCAGGCAGCTATTGACGCGTAGACGTATAGAAGTAGAGGAGGCTCCGGAACCACAGGAACAAGGACCCGAGGAGGCAGAGGCGCCACAAGGAGTCTCTAACCTCCAAAGCATTCCAGGGGGTTTGGAAGACTAGGAAAAAACCTTTGCCGATATTCGTCTGAGTCTGCCGGACCGAGAAGGTGGCGAAGTAATGAGATCACCGCCCGACACTAAACTTAGCTTCCACGCACTGCCTGTAGGAAAACTTAAAGTCCAGGTCGGAACCCACCACACCGATGCATTAGTGGATGGCAGCGCAGAAATTACCCTCATACGACGGGATTTCGCAACGATCACGGGGTGCACAGTAAACAAGGAAGTAGTGGGGAGTATCAGGGGAACAGGCGGAAAAATTCCCTTCACTGGTACGTTACCAAATGCGCGGTCAGAGAAGGAATTCGGGAATCCATCTGGTCTTTCCAACGGATGACCGTCATGGAAGAAATGGACCATGACATAATCCTTGGGAGACCTTGGTGCGCCAATGTAAAAATGATTGGCATGCACTTGCATGATGACACGTACATGGTAGACATAGAGGATCCGGTGATAGGGCGCGGAAAACTCCTCCGACTCCTCGGAACTGGAGGGGACCCTCCCAAGGGTAAACTGGAAACCTGGTCGCCGACGTTTGAAGAAAGTGCACAGAAAGGCACAATCGCACAGATGGAAGGTATGAGAGAAAGAGTAGAAATCATGATTGAGGAAGTCTTTAGCAAGAAGGAGTGGATCAAGATGGGTCTACCCTTGAAGAAGAGGCAAGAGGATGAGGCCCTGAAAGTTATAGTGGCAGAAAAAGAGTCGGAAGTCGAACTTGGAGCCAGCCTGCCCAAACCAAAGGAAGGCCGGAACGAAACGTAAGAGGTGGTGCTTGAAATCCCAGATTTGTTACAACTCGTTAAGGCCATCAGGTATCACAAAGTGGGGGTGGACCCTGCAACGCTTGCTAGATTTGAGGATGGGGTTCGAAAGGGTTACTGTCTGAATAGGAAGCTAGTCAGCATCCAGCCCCGCGTTTTGGAAGTAGCAAGGCCGATCCTGACCGTTCATTTTTTAGGAGAACGATCCCAGAAGGAAGTGTGTGAAAGTACAAACCCGTAGGCAAGAAGGCCAAGCGGGTCTCGATCCTGGTAGAAACATCAAAGGAAGAGGCTATGGAAAAGGAAGAGGAAATCCTACGGGTTATAAGGGAGAGGCGAGCAACGGAAGGGCATCGGATACCTGATGAGGTAGCAGATACCATGAAAATAGGAGTGGAAGGGTTCCTAACACCGAAAGAAACTCAGTTGATAAGAAAGGCAGCTTTCGCTTTCAACGATCATCAGAAAGGGCGATTGGACGCAAAGCTAGTTCCCCCTGTCAGGATCCACACCGTACAGCACAAGTGTTGGAATGATAAAGGGTCCGCCTATGAGTTTGGGATAGCAGCGGAGGTCACTGACCTGCTTAGAGCCAAGATAGATTCTTTCGTGGCTGAACCCACCGCATCCCCCTATGCGAACAGGTGGTTCGTATTCAGGAAGCCCAATAAGATGCTCAGGAGGATCCAGGACCTGCAGAAGCTCAATGGGGTAACAATTAGGGATGCAGGCTCGCTTCCACAGGCCGACTTGTTGGCAGAGTCTCATGCGGGGCGGAGCATTTACTCCCTGGTAGATTTGTACTCAGGATATGACTAGTTGCCGCTCGACGCGAGGGATAGACCGTACACCGCAATGCACACCCCCGTAGGATAGTTGCAGATGCAAGTGACCCCTATGGGTTTCACAAATGCAGTAGCAGAGGTGCAGAGGAGGATGCTCGTCGTCACAGGGGATATGTTTCCAGAGAAGTGTGAACCGTATATAGATGATAATCGCGTAAAAGGAGCAAGGTACAAGGACGAGACAGAGGTCAAGCCGGGTGTGCAAAAATTTGTCTGGGATCACCTACATGATATCAAGGATCTCTTACAACGGTTCTTGCTTTATAATATTACCGCAAGTGGGCCAAAGAGCATCCTGGCTGTCCCGGAGGTAACTATATTGGGATTTCGCTGTGGGGCCTATGGGAGGAGACCCGACCCAACAAAGACAGATAAGATCTCTCAGTGGCCGACACCCCTGCGTACCACGACGGAAGTACGAGCCTTCCTAGGGGTGGTTGGATTCTGGAGGATCTTCATCAAAGATTTCGCAAAGATAGCAGAACCTATCCTCGCGATGATTAGGGAAGATGACACTATGGATTGGACTGAGGATAGGGAAGAGGCAGCCTTAACCCTCAAAGACATCCTGTCATCCGATCAGGTCACTCTAGCAGCACCCTGTTTTAATGACGAGGTAGGACGACCCTTCATCTTAGAAACAGATGGGGGACCGCTGTCAGTTGGAGGAGTATTGATACAGAGAAGCGAGGAGGGCAAGGAAAGGCCAATCAGATTTGAAAGTAGGACCCTGAATTCGGCAGAACGGCGGTACTCACAGTTTAAGAAGGAGGTCTTAGCGATTCTGCATTGTCTTAAGACCTTCCAGGCATACCTGCTCGGAAGGTGATTTATCCTAAGGATCGATCCTACCAACGTCGCCGGGGCCCTAAAGAACTACAAGCCTATAGACCCGACCGTTGGCAGGTGGATAGGCTTCATATGGCAATTCGACTATAAGGTCGAGCGGATTGCGGGGCTTCGAAACAGGGCAGATGGGCTGAGCAGGGTATGTATCACACCAGAAGGAGTAGAGGACGAGGAACCAATCGACGCCTTCCTGGAGTATGAAGGAGTGATCTTTGTGGTGGATAATGAGATGGCAGATCTAGCAATTACAACAGGTCAGTTGCTGATTTAAACCTTGGAAAAAGGCGCGCCTCCAGTAGTTGCAGAACTCAGGGAAGGACCAGCCACCACGGTCAGGCGTAAAGAGGAGAAGGACTCGTGGGGAGCAGAAGTAGGGGCCAAAGAAGAGTTGATGGCGATGGTCGTGGAAGGGGGACGGGACGCCGTGATGATATTGGCCGAAACCTGGGCGCAAAAGGAGTGTCAGTACCTAATCAATCTCATTTGGGAGGAGCGGAGTACGGATTAGAACGAACATGAATTCTTCCTCATACAGATATACGAGGGCGTCTTCAAAGAAATCGGCCTGTTGCTTGTAGGGAACAAACAACCTACGGAAGTCAGTCCCAAGACAAGGGAGGAAGTAGAAAAGTATGTCCTAAGAAATGGCCACCTGTTCAAGAGAGAGGAAGGGATGATGCCTAGACGCGTCGTTTATGGGAGGTCTAGGCAGCTAGACGTAATTCAGGCAATGCATGATGGGCTAGCTGGGGGTCACCGGTCGTCAAAGGGGACACTTGCAAAGATTGTGCCCCTGTATTTCTGGTCGAGAATGGCAGGCATGGTCACAACGTACTGTCAGACGTGTCTGATATGTCAAGAGAGGAGCTCCGTACGGGTTTACGAGCCCCTTAGACCCACTCGGGTACTAGGACCCGGACACCTTGTTCACCTCGACCTTGCGGTTATGCCCGTATCGACGGATGGGTTTAGATACATCTTGGATGCAAGGGATAATCTCAATGGCTATGTAGAGGCTGTAGCCCTCAAAAAGAAGACGGAAAAAGCGGTGGCCAATTGGGTGGAAGATTTCTACCTAAGACACCCCTTCGTGCGCAGGTTTATAGCAGATAATGGGACAAAATTCGTTAACCAGGATGTATTGAACAGGCTTAAGACACTGTGCGTACCAATCAAGATCACTGAACCCTACCACCCTGAGGCAAATGCACCAGTAAAAAGGGGGCACCGGACCTTGAAAAACACAATCGCTAAGCTTGCAGCAGACAACTTGGGGAACTGGTCACGGTACCTTAAGCAGACAGTCTTCTCTGAGAACATGACACCAAAGAGAACGATGGGATGCATTCCAGCGGAGCTATGGTATGGAAGGGAGATTGACTTCCCAGTGGAGGCCCTCGTCCCTACTTGGAACAGGTTAGACGATAATCCGCACTTGACCACGGAGGAGTTAATCACCGCACGTTGCCAGCAGGTCGCCAGGAATGAGGAGGCATTGGAGGAAGTMGTTAACCGTGTAACGGATAACCGAATGAAGGACAAAGCAAGGTGGGACCAGGTCAAGAACATTCGGAAAGAGTCACTCCAGGTGGGGGAGAAGTGTTAGTTAGAAACTCGACTCTTGAAAGCACATGGTCTGGGCAACTGGGAAAGAGATTCAAAGGGCCTTACAGGATCGCTAAGCGGGTGGGACTGAATACGTTCGAACTTGAGGATCTTGATGGTACTAGCATAAGAGGATCATTTCCGGGACAGAGACTGGCCATATTTTTTAGCAGGGATCCGGTGGAACAATGGTTACAAGAAGCCCAGGACAGAGAAACTGGGGAACTGACAGCCTGAAAGGCAGGCAGCTGGCTATAAGTTTTGGACCACCTCCCTGGGGAAGTGATCATGACCACAGGGATTGTTCTTTTGTTTGTCTTGCTTTTTGTGAAACGTGGGGAGACAGCCTGGGCTGACTGTGACTGGGCTTGGGAGCACGACACAATGTATTATAGTTTTTGTGGGGTAACGTTGGGGACTGTCTACACGAGGTATTTATGAGTTGGGACAATGTACCATAGTTTTTGTGGGGTGATGATGTCGATTGCCTACATGGGGCACCTATGTGTTGGGACAATGTGTCGAGGGTTCTAAGGGATAATGAGACGGCCAACTATATGGGGGCAAGCAAAAGTTCTAGGGAAACCTCCAAAGCTGCAAATGGGAGTGGAAGGGAATGCATGTGTATGAGGGGTACCGTGACTGTTATGTATGAACAGGGTCAGGCAAGAAGAAGAAAGACAACAAGAAAACAAAAAAAAATGGAGTTTGGGAATGAAAATGACAGCAATGCAATTAACAGATCGGAAGAGGGACAGTCGTCAAGGCAAGCCGGAGAGTCAAGCTCCAGGAAAAGGAAGTTGTATGTGGGGTTCGATCACAACCTAGTTGTGAACAGGGGGGGCAAAAAACAAGGGACCAGAGGACCTTCACCACTGAAGGAAGGGGAGCCAATAGAGTTGCCTTCAGATAGTGATCCTAGTAGTAAGGAAGAGGGGAACCTGGAAAAAAGGCAAAGGATGGAGGAGGGGAACCCAGAGGAAGGACAACGGCCGGGAGAGAATGAGCCCGTTGAGTTCATTGACCTCACCAGCGACGAGGAGGAAGATGAGGTAAGAACGCCCACAAGGGAAGAACGGGGAAGAGAGGACGAACCGGGTGAGGTAAAGGACAAATGGATAGAAGAGTTCGGGCCAACCTTCAACGACTGGTTTGACCAATGGGGCACTATCTTGCGATTTCAATGGATAACGAAGGCAAGGGCAAAACTGGGCAGGGGAGAGGATTTATCCCCAACAACTTTTTTCACAGAGCAACACTCCTTCAGCTGCAAGAAATAAAGAGGCAAATGCAGCAGGAAATGGAGGACCGTGCAAGGAGGGAGGCTCGACGCAGGCCACCTGGACAATAGAGGTGTAGCATGCGCAATGAGAAATAACTAGAAATTGGAAGGGGTTGGTGTCTGGGCAGTCACAACCGCCATTTTGGATTTCGCCTTTGAACTTCTTTCTGAATGAACTATGATGAGACAGCTGCTAAGCCCGAAGTGCCTAAAGGCTGGGTATTGAATGCTACTTCATATAAGTCGTTGCTTCTTCGGGAATGGGCACGAGAGTTTTTTTCGCACTTAAAAGAGAACTGTGGATGCCTGGGGTGGCTAAGGCAAAGTAAGGAGAAAACAAAGGGGCTTAGATGAGACGAGTCTGTAATGTGACCTTTGCATTCGAACTATGTCTCCTTGTTTTTCTCAGGACCGCGATGAAACTACCTCTTTGGATTGAGGGAACTAGTAAGGGGTTGGGAGACTTATGTTACTTTGTATGAGTATTCGCTTCTTTGGGAAAATGTGAATTTTTTTGGCGGTAAGAAAAGGGGATCAGGGATGATTGACTTTAAGAAGTGGGCAAGGGCATGAGAACCATTGGGATTGAGAAAGACAGTGGATGGCGAAAACTCTCCTTTTTCTGAACCACGTATCCATGATTGAGTGAGTCGTTGCATAAAGTCCTTGTGAGAGGTTAGGGGACCTATGGGTAAAGGGATATCCTCTTCCCTAGAAGCCTAATCCAACCTATCTCAGACAAGTCCACAACATTGGAAGGATATAAGAAGTCAGGGAAGTGGCAGCGAAACATCGAATTGGTTCAATTGAACGACCGGGTGGGCTAATGCTGCTTGGGGCCGCTAGCCTCGACTTGAGTACTAGACGCTAAGTCGGATGTAGAGATGGATGTAAGAATGACAAAAGGCATGAGGAAGAGGAAGAAGCATGCATAAAAACCCAAGAGGATGACCGCCTTCTAACCCCCGAGACGAGATAGGATCCGTGTCCTCAAGGCCCACCCCCTCGGGCGCTAACATTGCAATGGACAAAGGATAACCCTAACCAGGCTGTCCAATTGGAATGGATAAGGATGGTCCTAACCGGACTGTCCGATTGCAATGGATAAGAATGACCCTCACCAGGCTGTTCGACTTGGAATTATAAAGAACGACCCTAACCAGGTTGTTCGAAATGACCCCTAACAAGGGTCATTCTTTGGAATTGGCACTGGGGTCCCCTTGCATGGCTGCTTGAGATGCATGACATTGGGTAGAGTTGAGCTTTGGAAAGGATATTCGAAGAGCTGAGCTTTGGAAAAGACATTGGGAAGAGCTGAGCCTCGGAAAAGATATTGGACTCAGCCTTGGAAAAGATATTGGACTTAGCCTTGGAAAAAATATTGCACTCAGCCTTGGAAAGGATATTGGACTCAGCCTTGGAAGAGATATTGCACTGCGCATTGGATTGGGATTGAGCATGGAAATGAGACTGAGCATTGGAATTGGATTGAGTATTGAAAATTGCATTGCATAAACACGGGACCCTAGGCAACTGGAAATGGACTTGGAAAGAGCCTTGAAATGGAACTTCTCTTTTTCTTCTAGTCTTTGGCCTCAGTAAGAGGGGGATACCGGTGCATGCACCGCGATCCCAAGACCTCTATCCCTTTGGGGGGAAAAGTCTCAGCGTGACTTGTTCATCTTGGAGAGGATGAAGGTTAAAGGACTAAGGCACCTACCACTTGGATCGGTGCGGGACGTCCGGAACCACCTCCGACAATGAGTTCCAGTCGGGGAGTTCCAACTATGCCTCCTATTGAATGCCTAAACGTCAAAGGGCGAGTGAGCCAAATGGGCAGGAAAGCCAGTCTCATCTAGTCTATTCTGCTACTCCCCAACCACACTCCAGGTCATAGAGGGGTGGCATGGTCGTTTGGGTCGGACCACGGCTGCCCGCGCTAAGTTGGGCGGTACTGTCCAAGGGGAAAGGCCGGGCGAGGTACCGGGTGGAGTCCGCCACCACCACAGGGCATTGATACTGCCCTGCCGGAACATTACAACCGTTTCAGGACTAATTGCGAGGTCTTCGTAACTGCACTCGCGGACTGATCGAGAGCCCCAACTCTCTTGAAAGAAAGAGGCGGAATCCAGAAAATTACCACTCGGGAGGAACGATTCGCGAGGAACGCTCTTACGGCTAGACGAGGCCCTGGCAGGCTTGGATTGGACCCGCTTGGCAGACGTGGGGAGGAACCTCGGCATTGGTGCTCGCCACGTAAGAGAAGAAAGGTCGGACCGGGTAGAAGGATGAGGCGTCGTCCGCTGGGGAGGAACTGATCACTCTTCCCTTTGTGAAGCGGACGGGCTTGTGTCCTTGACTTGCGGTTGGTGGGCCAAAGGTCTGCATACCTCTGAGTGAGAACCAGTCGCGCGATGGGGACATCGCGTTTTGAGTGGGGGGAAGGTGTGCCATCTACCAATGAATACGCATGAAAACAAGACTTGTAATTAATTTTGCATGGGCTTGGAAAAAAGGGGCCTGTCAAAACGGCCGGAACAGAAAAAGATTGTAATTGACTTTGTACAGGTCTGAGAAAAGGGGGTCTGGCAAGACGCCAGTGTAGAAAAGCCTTGAGCAAGTGACATGGTATGAACTGGAACTAGCAGACCGAGAGTTGGCTGTGTAATCGGTTCGTATAAGCTTGAAAAGATGAGAAGTGGCAAAGGGGTGAACCAAGCATTGCACATGAAAAGTCAATTAAGTAAAGGGTAAGAAAGGGCAGAGGATGATATGCATGCGGAATTGGCAGGTGCTGAGAAAGACCGGGAGGAATGACCCGGGAAGAATGCATGTGGATTTGGCTATGTCTGAGTTTCCGGGAGAGGAAAAATTGTACTGAAAATGTGTGGATGTCCTTAGAGTAATGAATGAGACGAAACCAAAAGGATTTCTGCCCGAGAATGTTTTCTCAATGAAATAGATAGATAGATTTGAGATTACGAATGCAGCCTTCAAGACATTGTCGAGAGCGAGAAATAACGTACAATGAAAGACTAGCTGCAGGACATGTCTATGGTCAGACCCCTTCAAGGGGCGATGCTAGTCAACTTGATGAGGGAAAGAAACACCAAGCTGCTTAAGCTCCTTGACGTGTTGCTAGCTCACACCTGGAGGAAGCTATGGCGAACGATCCTTGTAACATCCGTCGCCAAAATTTTTCTTTTACCTCGGTCCCTGGGGAGGGCGATGGGCGCGTCGTCCTCTCTCTTATGGAACGATACGGGAGGTTGTGGGGAAGCTCTTGGGTATTTGGAAGTTCCAGTGAGAAAGAGATACAACTGTGAGACGGACGTTGATGCACAGAGGGTGTTACGCGCTCGTTACAAAGACATTATTGAGCTTGGGGACGTTAAGCAATCCAAAGGAAAACCGAAACCAAACCTTGACCCCTCCATACCCTCCCCCGCCCCAAGGGGCGGAAACTTAAAGGACCTGAGAAAAAAATGGGAAAGACAAAAAAAACCCTGGCAAGCTAACTACTCATCCCACCCCACTCCTCTCCCCTGTCTGTCTATCACTCCAAAATCCCTACTGACCATGGATTGGTGCGCGATGAGGACATCGCAAATGAGTGGGGGGAATATTTCGCGACTGGTGAGTCCCGAATGATTTCCCGTCACTCGAAAGACTGTATATGACCAATTTGTGCACGGCAGAGAAAACCGGAAGCAGGAATGCTAGAAAGATCGGAAGCGTGGGCACAGACAGTAGGAAGCTAGAGGCTGCCCAGGGTCGTCGGGACCGCCAAACTAGAAAAAGACTGTCTAAGCAGGAAGCGACAAAGGACTGTGAGAGAATAGCAGGGGCGATTCTTTTCCCAAGGATGGAGAAGGGCCGCCGGGAAGTTGGTAGTAGCATAGGAGGTGCGCAGCAAGGAAAGGAAGGAAGCGGGAAGGAACAGGGCGCAAGGCGCTGACGTGACACGGCGGCAAGAGGGTCAAGGAGACTGCAGGTTAGGTGGGAGCCGGCACCCGGAACGGAATAACATGCGGGACGCAATAGGAGCAGGGAGCGGAGATCGCTGTAAGGCGGAAGGACGTCAGGAGCACCAAGGAAAGACGTGGCGGGGCAGGAGTGTCGGGGACCATATGGGATCGAAGGACGGGGCGGTACCAGGAGGGCGAAGTACCGGGAATCGCGTGAGACTAAGGAAAAGACGTAATGCAGGCGAGCCGAAGTGCCAGGGACCGCGTGGGCCTAGATAAAATGGCGGCACCAACGAAACCACTAGCAGGACGGGTATCGACGGGATAAAGTGTCAGGAGCCGCCGACGGGGGCTGAAGACCGAAGCCGTCGGCGGAATAAAGGGCGACCGACCCAAGGGGGGAACACGAGAGCGGGTCGTCACCCGGGGCGATGCCGGAAAAAGGAGAAAGACTAGGGATAATAAGAAAAAGAGGAGAAGTCGGGTGCTGACGGGAATCGACAAGAGAACGAAGGAGACGGACGTGAGACGGGAAAGACGGAAGGCACTTGGGGCGACCCAAGGGGACCCTGGATCAAATGCAACAACGATAAAAATAAAATAACATGATATCAGGCGGTCGGGACCGCCCGGGACAGGGGTCCGGGTGAGAATGATAAGTACCACCGCGGCAAGCGCAGGCGGGAGGTGCCGAAGGGAAAAAGAGGAGCGAATAATGGTAATGAGGGGGCCGGCCAGCAGTCCGAGTACCCCGGATCAGCCAGGCCAAGAAAAAAACCGAAGTTCCAAGGGCTCCACGTGGAAAAAGGGCTGCCGGAGAAAATCGGAGCGAGGGGTCTCAAACTGGAAGCGGCGACAGCAAAAAGAAGCCCCCTTTGGCCCTGGGGGTGCCACTATTGCAGTCCGAGGTGTAACGTCCATATGCCGATTGCAAAATCAGGTCTTGAGAAAGGTCCAACAGCTAGAAAGAGGAGAAATAGTTGTTGAACACTTGTCCCAACAGTAAATAAAAGAGAGAGGAGGGAAAAGGGGGAGAAAAGGGGGGAGAATGAGACAAAGGAGGAGGAATGAGTGGAGGAAAACGTGCCGTCAGGTTGGGACTGCAGCGGTAGGGACAGGCAGGTCTCAATGATGACCTCATCCCTCCTAGATCCTAGGAGGGCAGTCCGGATTGCAAAGATAAGGTCCTTAGGGCATTATCTCAACAATATCTGAATTTAAGTAGCAAAAATAAGGAAAAATGCTGATGTGAGTTGGCCGACTCATTTTTGGGCCTTAGATCTGAGATGTGATTTTGCGGAGGAGGAGATCTAGCCGTTTTTTGTGGGCTGACACAAAACGGCTAGCTCCGGAATAAGTTGGCAACAAAAGGGAGGGAAATCAAAAG